AAATTTTAATCCCAGTTCTAAATCTACTGCCCAGGTTGTTATGAAGGTTAATTAGTTAATTACAGATTTTAATGCTTTGTATTCTTTGGAGAAAGGTGATTTATCATAAGCTGGTATGCCTTTTTTTTTTTTTTTTTTTTTTTGCAAAACTGCTTAAGTTTAACAGGTTTTCAATGTTTCAAATTGGTGAGTGAATCTTTTTGGGATTTTTTTTAGGTCAAGTGGGATTGAAGTAATTTTTATTTATTAACTTAACATATATGTATATGTTTTTGAGACAAGGTCTCTGTATAGCCCAGCTGGCCTTGAACTGCAGATCCTTCCAGAATCATTGTTTTAATCAACATTTTGCTCAGTATGTTATCTTTAAGAAAGTGAACTATGAAGTTTTGCTTATTTGGATTTTTGGCTCTTTAGGAATTTATTGGGGCTGGTGGAGTGGCTCAAGTGGTACGAGTGCCTACCTAACAAGTGTGAGGCCCTGAGTTCAAACTCCAGTGCTGCCAAAAAAAAGAATTTATTATTTTCTTTTTGTTTTCTTTTTCCCAAGTAATAAGTGGAAAAACAAGAGTCTTAACCACCTTTTGAAACAAATGAGGCTGTAGTATGTGTTATGTAACACTTATTTTTCACTTACTTAATGAAGCAAACACATACTTTTCATGTCAGTAAATACAGTTCTGCAGTGCTATTTTCTATCTTGCGTAGTATTCCATTGTATGAATAGCCTATAATTCAAATGATGTCATTTAGTTGGTTTCTTTCTTGTAAGCAACATCATGAAATAGTAAAATATAAGTAAATCTAGATGTAAAGAGAAGATAGTGAAAAACAGCAAAAAAGAAGTTCTAAATTCAGGTGGTGGTGTATGGCAATTGTAGGTAATAGTGCATATTAGGTGCCATTACCAGTGCTTTGGTGCATGCTTTTTTTCTGTGTGCATGAGCCCTCAGTACAATGATGTTTTAGAGAGTCATTTACTTTATATATTCCTGGACATTCGTACATCCATAAGAAAGTCTTACGGATATTTATTGTACATTAACTTTTTTTGTCTGCAGAGTATAATGATGATGCAAATATTAATGGTTATTTGTGCCAGGTAATAGGCTAAAGTGAGTGAAAATGTTTGATGTAATCATTGCAGCAGCCTTGTAAGGTAGGCTCTGTTACTTGTAGATGAGGAAACTGAGGGGCACGATAATTAAGTAATTTATAGGAGGGAGAGCCATAACGTGAACCTAGACCTGCTCACTTGTCCTGTGCTCCTCTTGCTTGTGAATAGCATTTCAAGTCAATAAAGGAGAAAGGTGGTATGGATTTAAATATATTTTTAACAGTATTGTTTCTTTGGTTTAGAAACCTTAAGATTCACGAGGTGAAAACAAGAATTTCTTTTCCCCTGAAGAAGTAGTTACATCTTCCCCTCCTTCTTATTTAGATGATTGTTTTAGTAATCTCTTTGCAGTTGCATATTCTGGAATACTGAAACCAAGAGGAAAATGTGAATAAGTAAACTTTTTAAAAAATTTCTTTTAAGTAAACTCTTGATTTTGAGACATAAATGATTGATGTCAAGTTTGTACACAATTTGAGAGGGCTATCTATGGTCAGGGAAGTTCTCTTAGAAATGAGATTTGAAACAACATAGTTTTCTTTAAGATTAAAGAATTGAATAGTTCTAAAATAACTTTGGAAAGTACACTACTTAAGCCCCTTCTGTGGCATGATGTTAATTGTGACCCTTTATTTGTGTTGGGTAAGCTGGGTTTTCCTATTTTGTATAGGTTGTCTTAACATCTCCATCCTTGCCTATGTCCCCAGAAGATGGTTATTTCCTGCCTTTGCTAAAGCCTACAGTTGTGCTTTTGGGCAGTAGGGATACAGCAACTCTTCTCATGTGTTGTTTTATTACCTGACACTTGTACAAAAGAGCAGGATATTGAATTGATGAGAAAGATCTGATAGTGATTTTTGTTTGTTTGTTTCTAGGAAAAATGCTTTGCATATTATAAATGATTTAAAAGTATTTTAAACAAAAAACTTCAAGTGTCAACTGGTGTACAATGCAGTTGTTTATACTATATTAGGAATTAATATTAAATGTAAAAACTCATAAATGCAGAAGGTAAACATAGACCATTTTATGTCACACAAGATGCCATATACTATAAAGTCCATGAAGATAAAACTTCATATTTTTTTGGTTGGTACTGGGGGTTGAACTTAGGGTTTCCTGCTTGCTAGGTAAATGCTCTACCTCTTGAACTCTACATCCAGCCCTTCACATCTTTTTAATATCTGACCTAATAGAAAACAACTAGGTTCTCATGTCTTTTTGATGTGTTCCGTAGACAGAAGTGTATTTAGAAAATCTGACCTTAGGCTGGAGGTGCAGGTCAGTGGTATGGCGCTCCTCTAGCAAGTGTCCAAGGTCCTGGGTTCAATCTCCAGCACTAAGGGGTGGTGGTGGGGTATTAAAAGAGAAAAAAGAAATCTGGCCTCCACAGACAGATAAATGGTTAGAAAAGCGAGGAATGTTTAATAGTCTTTTTCAGATGCTGTCTATATCCTTTAACATTGCTCCCAAATTCAACAAATAGTAACATTGGTCATTTGGTCATTTACTGGGTTAGAGCTTTCAGATGTTGAAACATAAGGTATAAGAAATGCATATTCATTAATAACACCACTAATCTGTTTAATTGGAAATGGCTTAAGTATTAATGTTCAAGCTCACGATGGTGGATACAGTTTTCAAAGTAGTTGAAAACTTAGGTTTTTATCATTGGCAACAAATATTGTCAGTGGTTTTCCTTAACATAACAGTTCACTTTGTTTATTTTCAAGAAAATGCTTGCTACCTACCCAGGTGTTTTTTTTAAGTCATGATCTGGCTACATAGTCCAGTCCAGGGTGGCTTCAAACTCTCAGTTCTCCTGCCTCATCTTACTGAGTGTTGGAATTACAGGTGTGTGCACTTTGTCCACCCCTAAATTTGAATAATCATAGTTTGTCATTCTGCCATATAAAAGCAGTATTCCATAAAGAAAGCCTCTAGATCTACTTCTATCTCAATTGTGCAGGAGCTCTTCCTAAGGCTTCATAAAGCAGCAGAGTGTTATATGCACACTTTACCTTTCAAGTAGTATTTTTTGTTTTGTTTTGTTTTGGCATTACTAGGGTTTGAACTCAGGGCCTCATACTTGCTAAGTCAGGTACTCTACATCTTGAGCCATTCCTCTATCCCTACTTTCTCTTTCAATACACAGAATATTAAACCAGGTACTCAAGGGTCAGGATTTAATAAAATCCATAATTGACGGTGGGTCACGCCTATAATCCTAGGTATTTGAAAGGATCAAGGTTCTAGGCCAACCCTGTGCAAATACTTTGAGAGACTCCACCTCCAAAATAACCAGAGCAAAATAAAGTGGATGTTGGCTCAAGCCGTAGAGCATCTGCTTTGTAAGCATAAAGTCCTGAGTTCAAAACCCAGTCCCATCAAACAAAAAACAACAACAAAAAAACCCCCGTGGTTTTTATTGCTTCAACAAGAACATGTTAAGTATAACTGATTTTTTTTTTAAACTGCATATGAGTGAAGAATACAATGGCTGTTTGGTAAAGTTTGGTGTTAACTGCTTTGATTTGTTGTAAAGTACCAGCAGTTTTGCTCATTGTTGTTTTTGTGCCCTCATTGAAAATGTCAACAGTTTAAAAGACAAATGTTTTAATTTTCCTGTGAAAACATGGACTTCCAGAATGGTCTTTAAGACCTCCAGAAGTTCTGAGGCCACACTTTTAACACTTTAAGGATAGCTGGATTAGTGCTTTATATGTTTCTCTTTGATCCCAGCCCAAATTCATCAAGGGGGATGCTAAAGAGGCAAATGATGGGTCTTTCTAGCTGGGTTAGAAAATAAAAATGATGTCACTTACCAAATAAGTGTTATAGGAAGAAGAAAGTGAGTTCTAAGTTTCAGGCAGCTTGAGGATTAGAAATAGGAATGTTGATTAGTGCAGTTCAGAAGAAGTTTTCTGGGGGTTAGTAAATTATTTAACAAGTGTTAAAATAGGACTGTTATTAAGGATAAATGCTCATTTAATTGAGCATTTTTACAAATTGAGGATTTTGGGCAGTGCCAGTGGTGGCCAGCAGGAAGAAGAGAACAGGATGACAATAGTGCCAAGGATGATGAGAAAGGAGAATTTCAAGAAAGCCAGCACTGCCTAATGCTTAGCATCTGTACAGACTTGACCAATGCATTGGATAATGAGATTACTGGTGATCCTGGCAGTTGGGTTGGAATCTAAATTATGGAAGAGTGAAGAGAGCACAGAGGCAGCAGGGAGTTTTTGGGGTAAAGGGAAAGAGACATGTTGGGCAATTAATTTGACTGAGGAGACTTCGGGAAATTCTTAGACTGAAAGGGAGAAGCCTCTAGAGCTTCTGATGATGAGCATTCTGATCTGAAGGAAAAAATAAAAAGATGAAACAAATTGGTATTAAAAGTATGATACAGTTAGCATTGTAGTGCATTTATATTTATAGAGGAGAGAGAAGCTGAAAACTGGGTTCCTGGCCAAAAATATGCATATATCTATGACATTTGACATGCAGGTTTTTTAGGTGCACAAGAAATTCCTTACTAATTTTTCCTATTAGGTGTTGAGTTTGATATATTTGCTATCTTCCTTTTAAATGCAGATAATTTAACAATCTGTGATTATTCAGAATGGAACTTCTATTTTGGCAGCTTTAAATCTGTGGTTAAACAAATGACAAGAAGGGTAAAATTCTTGCTGTACTGAAGAGATTGTGTTCCCTCATCCCCCCCCCAGATAAAAGACATTCCAGTTTCTAGAATAGTTCCACAGTTGTTTTCTTTCTGGAGACAGAGTTTGGTTAATAGCCTCAGGTAATGCTTGTATTAAAAACGTGTGTTGTTTTGAATGTGCTTATATTTCTAACTTCCTTTTTTTCTTTTTTCTTTTAGTTTGTTCTCAGGGGAGGCAGTAAGGGGCCGTGGAGCTGGCCTCAGCACCAGGAGAGGCTGGACTTCCTGTCTCTCTGTGCTGAATGGCTGCGATGGCGCCCGCTCTCACTGACGCAGCAGCTGAAGCACACCACATCCGGTTCAAACTGGCTCCCCCATCCTCCACCTTGTCCCCAGGCAGTGCCGAAAATAACGGCAACGCCAACATCCTTATTGCTGCCAACGGAACAAAAAGAAAAGCCATTGCTGCAGAGGATCCCAGTCTAGACTTCCGAAGTAATCCTACCAAGGAAGACTTGGGAAAGCTGCAGCCATTGGTGGCATCATATCTCTGCTCGGATGTAACACCTGTTCCCTCAAAGGAGTCTTTGAAATTACAAGGGGTCTTCAGCAAGCAGACAGTCCTTAAATCTCATTCTCTCTTATCTCAGTCCTATGAGCTCCGAGCTGAGCTGTTGGGGAGACAGCCAGTTTTGGAGTTTTCCTTAGAAAATCTTAGAACCATGAATACAAGTGGCCAGACAGCTCTGCCACAAGCGCCTGTAAATGGATTGGCTAAGAAATTGACTAAAAGTTCAACACATTCTGATCATGACAATTCCAGTTCCCTCAATGGGGGAAAACGGGGTCTCACTTCATCTGCTCTACAAGGAGGTGAAGTGGGATCTGACTCTGGGGACTTAAAGGGGGGTATGACCAATTGCACTCTTCCACATAGAAGCCTTGATGTAGAACATACAACTCTATATAGCAATAATAGCACTGCAAACAAATCTTCTGTCAATTCCATGGAACAGCTGGCACTTCAAGGAAGCAGTAGGTTATCACCTGGTACGGACTCCAGTACTAACTTGGGAGGTGTCAAATCAGAGGGCAAAAAGTCTCCCCTGTCTTCCATTCTTTTCAGTGCTTTAGATTCTGACACAAGGATAACAGCTTTACTGAGGCGGCAGGCTGATATTGAGATCCGTGCTCGCAGGCTACAGAAGCGCTTACAGGTTGTACAAGCCAAGCAGGTAGAGAGGCATTTACAACATCAGCTGGGTGGATTTTTGGAGAAGACTTTGAGCAAACTGCCAAACTTGGAATCCTTGAGGTCCCGGAGCCAGTTGATGCTGACCCGGAAGGCTGAAGCTGCCTTGAGAAGAGCTGCCAGTGAGACCACCACTTCAGAGGGACTTAGCAACTTCTTGAAAAGTGATTCAATTTCCGAAGAATTGGAGAGGTTTACAGCTAGTGGCATAGCCAACTTGAGGTGCAGTGAACAAGCATTTGATTCTGATGTCACTGACAGTAGTTCAGGAGGGGAATCTGATATTGAAGAGGAAGAACTGAGCAGAGCTGATCCTGAGCAGTGCCATGTACCCCTGTGAGTAGAACCCATAGTGACACATAATGTCATTTTTGAGAAATGTTGGGGCAAGGGAGAAAGATTTAGTGAATCCCCATTTTGGAAAGAATAAAATTCTTTGTATATTGGCAACTAGGTTCCATTTTTCTTTTTCCTAGTTTTTGGTACCTTGTGAAAAAATGAAAGATGTTTCTGCTGTAGTGTTGTGTTTCTGTAGGCTAAAAGTTGATGATTTCCTTTTGAAGTCTTACTAAGAAAAAACTGGAGGAAACCCTATTAGTAAATATTTCTTTTGAAACTATATGTGGGTCATTTTGTTAAGGTTAAAATGGTTTGACTTGAGATTTTGTTGTTTCTAATAAGTAGGGACAAGTGTTTAGTTGACTTAGTTAAATTGGTTGGGATTTATAGTTGCTTTTAATTGAACTTTATCAGAGAGCATACTTGGTCTTTAATTTTAACACTTGAGATTTTTTTTTTATTGTTGGAAAACCAGACTTACTTTCCTCTCTTCTCAAACTACAACAGTCGACCCAGAAGACATCTGTGATCTTGAAAGGTGTAGGAATTTCTCCATACCAGCAAGCTATCAATCATTTCTATTGGACCTGGAGATAGTGCCAGATCCTGTGGGTTCAGGACTCAGTCCTCAAGACTACCCCCCAGCCCAAGTCCCTTCAGATACCAGTTGTAAGACCCTTGTGGTTTATCAGTGCTTCTGAGTTTCTCACTGGCTATAAATTCTTTTCATAACACCCTCCTTGGATTCAGTTAATTTGAATAGCTCACAGTACTCAAATACTATCTTAATGTTTGCCTTTTTAAGTAAATACTACTACAAAGGATATAGGGGAGGACATGCATTGGGTGAGATATGGGGAAAAGAGAGTGGAGCTTCCATATCCTCTCTGAATGTCTGAATGTGCCATCTTTTAGGAGCCTCTTTGTGTTCCGCTATCCAGAAGCTCGCTGAACCATCCCCCCCCCTCTTTTTTTGCGTGGTGCTGGGGTTTGAACTCATCGTAACGCTTGCTAGGCAGGTGTTCTACCACTTGAGCTACTCCATCAGCCTTGTTTTGTTGCGCTGGTTTTTTTTTAAGATATGGCCTTAAAAACTATTTGCCTGGCTTTGCTTCAAACCTTGATCCTTCTGATAATTGCCTCCCAAGTAGTCAGAATTAAGGCGTGAGCCACTGGCACCCATCTCCTTTTGGATTTTTATGAAAGTCTGATTACATAGGCATAATTAATTACATCATTTGCCACTGGTGATAACTTATCCTGCAATCCCTCTTCCCACCGTGGAGGTTGAGGGATGGAATTGAAAGTTCCAGCTCTTTAAAACCTTGGTCCTTCTGATACCTAGCCCTTATCTTGATGCTACCGAGGGGCTGCAAGCCATCAGTTCAACTTATTAGCAAAGAAAAAGATCCTAAAACTTTGGAGATCCCAAGGATTTTGGGCATTGTATGCCAGGAGACAGACCAGTGTGTATTTCACTTAATGTTGTAAGGACTAAGAATTAGAAATGCTTCAGAATATTTTATTTGATGTCTTTAAACAATCCATTTTCATAACTTGATTTTCTTACTAAAAGATCCCATTTTTATCAGATTTTTCTGAGGCAGGGTCTCGCTATGTTGGGTAGGCTGGTCTCAAATTCACAAATTCATGCCTCAGCCTCTTGGAGTACTGGGATTACAGGCATGTGCCAACCGTCTGGTTATATTTCACAAAGTTAATATATTAACATATTTAGGATAAACTTTTGCTGTTTTTTGCAAATCTGTTGATTTTACAAAATTCTACATAATCTCGTTAATGGGTGACATGACAAATTGGCATAATCTTGATCATCTCTCCCCAGTCCTGCATTTGTGTACTTAAATAAAGAAGTATATTAAAGATAAATCTTGTAAGTGTTGGGCCTGTGAAAGTGGGAGCATGAGAAGTTGGGAAAGAAGGTCAGGATAATTGAAAGTCAATACTTTTCCTTTCTTTTGGTAGTCTGCATTACTAGAGAAGGCTGAAATGTATAGATATTTTGGAAAAATAATTTTTCCTCACCAGTGTTAAACAGGTAGCTAATACTTTCACTAGAGAGTTTGCTTGTTGAGACAGCTATGCTTTTAAGCAGTAAATTAACTTGGTTTCTCAAGTTTGTTTATATTATTCACATGAATAATATTGTGTGTCTGAAAGGAAATTTTGTTTTATGTTTCTGTTTTGAGGGAGCAAATCCATGTAATTTTGGGGAATTTCTGCCTTGTTGTATAATTCTAGTTCAGTTATCATTTGTTGGTGTCCTGTACTTAAAAGAGTTTATGTCTGTGTTCAGACTTAAAGCGGATGTTTCAGAGGCTTGCTAGTTCTTTAACTTAGCTATCTTTAACTAGATTAGTATCTTAAATCAATTTATGAATATTTGTGTCATCATCCTCACTGACTTTGCTGCCTAATTCACTGCTTTAAAAATATCTTGGTGAGCATTAAACATTTTGTTTTTAAAGGTACAACACAGTACTTTTGAAATACTGTAAATTGCATGTGTTTTATATTTTCAACAAAAACATCTAAATCTACATGCTTTCTGTGTTCAGAATACATTACATTGAAAACTTTTCTTAGCTGGGTGTGGTGGGTCATACCTGTAGTCCCAGATACTGGTTGGCAGAGATTAGGAGGATCTTGTTTGGAGGGCAACTGGGGCAAAAAGTGAGATCCCATCTCAACCAGTAAAGCTGGGCATTATTGTCAGTGCCTGTCTTCTCAGGTACATTGGAGGCTTAAATAGGAGAATCTAGGTAGGTCCAGGCTAGCTTCCAAAATCGGTCACCCTATTAATACCAAAAATAACTAAAGCAGAAAGGGCTGGAGGCATGGCTCAAGTGGAAGAATGCTTACCTAGTAAGTATGCCCTGTGTGTCTTATCTGTTGTTGTTCTATAGTCCCATCTCTTCCCCTCTCCCCCTTGAAAAAAATTTCTAAGGTTTTGTAATGTTGCATGTAGGTGTTTTAATCCAGTTCAGTCAAAACACTTGAGAAGAGCTGGGGATATAGGTCAGTGGTAGAACACTTGCCTAGTATGTTCAAGGCCCCAGATTAAATTCCCAGAACAGTCCACCCCTCCCCTTAAAAAAAAGTTACTCAAAATACCCAAAAAGAGAATTTATTTCATAGGATGATCTACTGACTTGGAAAAAACCTCTGAATCCATTCACTCTCATATAATGGTGTATTGATTGAAAGCATGTGAATTGTGGACAGATAAGGGATCATTGTGAGAAAACATTTTGGTATCATTTGAATCCTCTTCAATGAAATAATTCTTTAAAAAGTTGAATTTCCATGCCTTATATCACATAAAATAAGCAAAATTTGGGCACTGAAAGTACTGTCATGTAAATAATTCTTTCTGTACTGTATTTAAATTAAAACCACCAATAAAACATGATTACTTTGCAAGTTCTTCCCAAGCAAGATTACCAGTTAACCAGACTTTTAAGACTGGTATTTATTTAGCCAGTTGTTTGTTGGCCTCAGTATTTTAAAGGTTTTTGACAGTTGGTCAGATGCTGAGAGTGGAGGCATTGATTATTAGAAAAGAAGAGAAAGGAAGTTGCTCTGTGGATGCTTGGAAATCTTTTCTGTGTGATCTGATAGTTCCTCCCAGATCCCATAGCCACATTAAAATTGTTGGGTTCTAGAATGAGAAGTTAACTAACTCCTTGACCTGGCTGGCGAATCCCCACCCCCATGTGCACCCGGCTGCAGCAGCTTGTCTATATTTTACTCCTTTGCTAGAGGTACGGTGGGCTACATGTAGTCTAGGCAACCATGATGAAAATATTTTGTATAGGAAGACAGTGAGTTGTTTTCAAAAAACTTTGCTCATGTTGGACATCTGGGCATTGGTGGCTCACATTTGTAATCCTAGCTACTTGGGAAGCTGTAACTGGGAGGATCATGTGAGCAAAATGGGACTGGAGGTGTGATTGAAGCAGTCATTTAAATTTCAAGTAGATGGTTCTGTGACGACTACAGGCTCTTCACCAGGAATTCAGGGCCTTCCACTTGTGAGGTGGGCCCTACCACTTCAGCCACATCTCTAGCTCTTTCCTTTTGTTTTGGTTAAGGTTTTTTTGGTTAACTGATTTTATGCTTGGTTTAATTAAGAGTTTGATGCTTTTTGTTTTCAACTTTTTTGGGGAAATTTTCCCCAAATTAATTTTATATATCTCGTGTTACGTATCTATGGACATACAACTGATTAGAAAATTTTTCACTATCTTGGGTTTCTTATGACTTCTGTCATTATTACTGACATCACTGTGAAAGGTGTAGGAACTTAAACATCATCTTGATGATAGGACTGAGAAAGAAGTGGCATGTTTTAATAAATAGCTTAATGTTTATCTTTTTTTTTTTTTCTTTAAATGAGACTGGGATTTGAAGTCAAGGCTTTGAGCTTGCTAGGTGGGTGCTCAACCACTTGAGCCATGTGTCTAGCTCTTTCTGATCTGCTCATTCTAAGATAGGGACTTGCTTTTTCACCCAGGCTGACCTGGACCGCTATTCTATTTTACACTTCCTGCTATAGCTTGGACAACAGATACATACCACTGTCCCCAGCTATTGTTTGAGATTGGGTCTTGCAAACTGTTTGCCCAGGCTAGCCTCCAATCATGATCCTTCTGATCTCAGCCTCCTAAGTAGCTAGGATTACAGATGTGAGCCACTGGTACCCAGCTTTGTTTTTTTCACTTTTGAGACAGTCTCACTGAATCCAGATCAGCCAGGAACTCGTGATCCTTCTGCGTCAGTCTCCTGAGTGCTGGAATTACATTACGGCCATGTGTTACCCTCCAGGGGTTTACTTTTAAGTTTTCTGTATTCCTTTTGCTTTTTCCCTGTGAAAGCCATCCCCACCCCCCATTTTCATTATGAATTCCTGGACTCATTCCTCATTTCCCTTAATTTGTTTTTTATTTTCTGTAAACTTCCACAGTAAGTACTAGCCAATAAAGTAATTTTTCCACATAGTAAATTTTTTCTTTTTTCTTTTCTTCTTCTTCTTTTTTTGTTTTTGGAGACAGTGTCTCATTGCAATGCCCAGCTGATCTGGAACTCAATATGTAGCCCAGGGTGGGTTTCAATTTGCTTTCCCTCCTGTCTCAGCCTCCTTAGTGCTGGAATTACAGGTTTATACCAACATGTCTGCCTGATACTCTCTTTAAATGTGCTCTTAGATTAGCAGTATTATGGGTACCTGAACCACATTATGTAAGCATCAGTCCCCTGAAGTTTTTGCTGTTTTCTTTATTCTCTGAACTGTTCCTTTTGGCTTATCTTTAAGGTTGATATAACAATAATCCCATAAAGTATTTCATTGTGACTACTGAAATAATGTTGATGATGTTTTTATTATGTGGTGCCTTCTTTATAAGGACCTCTGGGGGAAGGATATACAACCAAGAATAACTGTACAGGGTAGGGGAAAAAAGAATAATTGTACTTCATTTCTAAGCTTTTAGTCAGTTTATAGTATCTGGATGCTGTAATTTATGTTCACTAGGTTTTTGTTTTTCTGTTGGGTATTTGGAAGTTTGGAGACAAGTTTATAGAGTTTTTTTTGTTTTGTGTTTTGGGTACCTTTTAAAAAGTCATTCCTGCATTCATTTTGTTTCCTTATTCTTGTTTTATTTTCAGGCTTAATTTATGCTAACCTGTATTTCACTTGTCTAATACCTTATGAAGTCTGTTCCAAATCAGGGTTGGCTAAAAGTAAACTAGCACTTATTTGAATTTTGATTGCACTGACTTTCCATCTCTGGGAGAGCTTTACCCTTTTGGAGTTAGTGAAGACCTCATAGTAGGTTTGGTTTATTTTTCATGGACCATTGACAAGATTATTGTGTTTCTTGGTGCATGGGATGCAAAGCGGGAATAATTGCATTGTTTTCTTAATATTTACTACCTGAGATGATACATAAGTAGTATAACTTAATCCTAGTGCTTGTGGC